CTAGAGAGCTATTAAAGTAATCCTGATGTGTGTTTTAATACGGCAAGTTTATATGGTTTAGTTTGAAAATAAAAACTGATTTAAAAGTGTAAACCTACTTACTTTCAAACTCCTACTTTTTATGTTAATAGATCCTAAATTATATGACAACAAACCTTAGTGTAGCAACAGCATCAATTGCTTCAATTTGATGCTTCACGAATGACATGTTTTACCATAATTCTTCAACTTTAGTAAAGCCTTTTTTCATGTAGCTTACTATATAAATTATAAAATGAAACTTTGAGCAATACTTTACAAAACGTATACAACCTTTCTTTTAAACCAAACATAACCCTCCTAAATCTACATAAAGCGCCACAAACTTCTTTTTCGAGTAAATAAACAAACACTAGTTCATTGTACTGACCAGCTGTTTCATTAACTAAATTAAATTAAATCATGTAAACTTTGGAAGCATGCCAGGCGTAGCCCTTTGGAAATCAGCCTGTGGGGCAGAGCCCTTAGGAAATTCGTCCATATCAATACTTTTCGGCAAATCTGTACACTCTAGCTACATTTTGATGTCACATATGCCCATATTTTTATTTGGTAAATGGCCTTAACCGTTTACATAAAATTTGATTGTATCACTTTAATAATATAATAGATTTAATTTAAAAATTAAATTTGAATTATGAAATAAATATTAAATTAGCATTCCTAATTATTGTTTTCTTGAATTTTTAATCCCATTTTATGCTAGTTTACTGAACATATTACTTTTCATCAGCATTGACATGCATATATTTGGTTTGTTTAAGAAACGTGTAGAAACGGAAACTACCTCCAGGTTTTACTGTTATATGTGGATGCTCCCTTTACTATTATAGACTATACATACTAGGCTATATTATTTTAATCTTTTTTGCTTGGAGCAACAGACAGTACCTGTTTAAAATCTGCTACAAACAATATTGGTTTTTTGCCCATTGGAACATGTCATCATAGTACTTATTTAATTTACGAATATATTTCCTTTACGGACCTATTCCATCTTTATTCCCAGGTTATTTTCTGAGTATCCGTTGAGGTTATATTCCACTTCATACAAAATATTGATTAAACACTACAATAAATCTCAAATTAAAAATGTTTTTTGTTAGTAAATTTACAAAGAAAGTGTAGAATAAATCTTTGAACATATGTTTTGAAATAAAAACAAAGCAATGGTTCTCCATTTAATCTTGAATTGGTAATTATTTAGTCAATGTGGTTATTTCATGGTAAACGGTAAAAATACACAAATTTGAAAAGTTTCTCAGTAAGATAATTTATTTCAACATTCTATGACGTAACTAAAAAGTCTTAAACATTATAGGTAACGTTATCGCTGGTATTATATAGTACAATGCAGAATTGACTGGCAAATAATTAATGCAAATGTAATATTGCTTACTGGCTTAATGATAAATCACGATCAGCTGTATTGAAGTAAACAAAAATCAGCAGTAAATGGTAAATGCCTTCTAATGATATTCTTATGGAGAACATTTTACGTTATATCTAATTTTGTGTTAAGATTTTGGGAATTTCACTATTTTTCCCGCCGTCACGGGATCGAGACCTTTAATTTGAGCCATCTCCCGTCATTCTACGACTTCCCAGTCACCCACAATTTTGACGCAAAGAATCGGCTTACGTAATTAATATATAGACTAGTGGCTTGAAGGGACATAAGTCCCTGAAAAGCTCAAATGTAAAACAAACTATTGTAATACAGTATAAACAAACTTAAATAAATCTAATACATATATCAGATATATATCCCAGTACAACATATCTTTTTTGTAAAAAATAGTTTGTTGTTTGTCTTTGTTTGCTTTTGTTGATGTTGTTTTTAATAAATAATTTAAATTACTCCAAAGGTTTAACTCTGCTGAAGGCAGACAACATGTTTGTGAATAAATATTAGTTTACTAAGGTAGCTTTGGTCTTTTGATAATAAAAAGGCTTTCCTGATCAAAATATTGGAAATTGTCTTCGTCATATACAGTATGAAAAGGCAAATAAAGGTGTGTTGAGATAAGCTTAGTTCTTAGTTAAAACCGCTAAATTAGCAACCCGACCCAGTTATTATTTCTAAGTGCATGCTCCTTTTGTAAACACTACAATAAATCTCAAATTAAAAATGTTAGTAAGTATAAAAAAAAGTGTAGAATAAATCTTTAACAAATGTTTTGAAATCAAAACAAAGCTGAAGTTTTCAACAATCTTGAATCGATTATTATTTAGTCAATGTAGTTATTTCATGTTGAACATTCCTTCAACACAACAATAACCGTTAAGTTAGAAGAAAAAAACTTCATAATTTTTTTCAGCCATCCTAAAGCCCCCCATACACGGGCGAGCATGTTCGCGAGCATGCTCGTGACGGTGTTGGCGACGAACATGCTCGCCCGTGTGTGGGATCCGTCGCGGCGAGCATGTTGGGCTCGGCGCTCGGCTCGTCGGACTTGGCGAGCCCGAACACGAACATGCTCGCGAACATGCTCGCCCGTCTGTGGGGACGACCATATGTTCGAGAGCATGTTCGCCGCTGCAACTTGGGTAGAGATAGGCTAAATGATTCCATCGATGTACCCGCTACTATGATTCCAGTTACACTCGTGGACTCATTACAAGTAACCGATCCGATTCCAAACAATTACTTCGTTACCGCCATTACAAAGTAAACGCAATAGACACATTGCACTTGTAATCATCATGGTGTTGATACTCTGATGTATTCCAGTTACAGTAATAGATTTAGAATCAATGTTTACAGAAGCTAAATAAATATTTATTTGTGTTTGTAACGCAATAAATATGAATTTAAATGAGTTTCCAAAATAGAGGGTTCATCAATTAAAATTTGTATATTATTACAGAAATGCGTATAATCAATTCTGTAGTAATTTGTCACAATAATTCTAAGAAAGGCTAGAATAAGCAAAACTACGAGAAATGTTATTGCACAACGATGGAATTTTAACCAACATTATTTTCAAACCATAGCGGATGAATTTAATCCGATAACTTCAGCCCTGGCACACTCGGTCTCGGCCGATTACAAAATCGGCCAAAAATAAATCGCCCATGATTTATGTCTAATAAATAATGCGTATGTTGCAAAAAAAAAAAAAAACTAAATGCTGTAATTGCAGCAAAAAATCGGGAGTATGCTAAATACACACAACTTGACTGTCACAGAGCACAAGAAAAGCAAGAATAGGCCTAGGAACCGCTACCGAGCGACGAGCATGTTCGCGAGCATGCTCGTCCGTCTCTTGGAAACGCCAAGCATGTTTGTCCGTCTGTTGACAACACCGAGCATGTTCCCGAGCATGTTGGCCAACATGCTCGCGAACATGCTCGCCCGTGTATGGGGGGCTTAAGTTGAATTCCTTTGATTTGAGCGATCTCCTATGATTATACTACTTATCATACGCTTAACTAATTTACTTAAAAATACACAAGTTTGCCAAATGCACAGTAAAATAATTGATTTCAACATTCTAAGACGTAACTAAAAAGTATTTATTATTAAAGGTCTAAAGTTATCCCCGGTTTTATATAGTATACAGTACATTGCAGAATTGACTGGCTGGATTGAGTAATCAAAATGTAATATTGCTTACTGGTTTGATGATTAATCACGATCAGCATTGGTCAGTATTGAAGTAAACAAAAATCAGCAGTAAATGGCTTCTAATGCATTTCTTATGGAGAACATTTTACATTATATCCAATTTTGTGTTAAAATTTAGGGAATTTCACTATTTTTCCTGCCGTCACAGGATCGAGACCTTTAATTTGAGCCCTCTCCCGTCGTTCTACGACTTCCCAGTTGCCTACAATTTTGACGCAAAGAATCGGCTTACGTATTTAATATATAGATAGATAGATGATGATGATTTGATTCCTTTTAATGCAAACAATTTTAAAATACTTAAGTTAGGGGACTATATTACTTTAGGATTTAGATATCTTATTATGAATGGTCTAATAAATACTAACAGAATATTAGCAGGACAAAAAATAAAAACATTCATCCATCAACCGTTATGTTTAATTAAAAACATATTATCAGGTCATCTTTGAATTTACTATTCGTACATGAATACGTTCTTCCTATTAGTTAGGTTTCTGATATTGCGATTCTAATTTAAGTTATTGATTTTGTTCGCATGATGTAGTATTAAATAAATCTTTTAAATACTTGACTGCTATTTCAGTAACTAAATCTCTAATATGAAATACTAACGGTCCTAATTGGTTGGTGTTGCTGGTTCGGTTAGCCTTAAAAATGTTTGTTAAGGTCCAATCAATAATACTCAATGATCTATCAATGATATAAAATCAACCCCTCAATCCCAATACAGTTTTTATATTCTGTATACAAACACAAAGACACACAAGAAGAAAGAACATTTGATGACAAGAACCGAAACAACTACAATAATTACAATAATGGAATATGAAGAACTGAAATGAAGTGAGTGTTTAAGTTATTCTCAGTGAATACTTTCAAACATTTACATCTAACAAAACTTTATTTAAATCAACTTATAAAAAACAATGTCTACCTGCGCAGAAACGAAAAGATCACGTGGTTCGCGGTGGTAGGTGGTAGGTGTGGCTGTGGCTCGAAATGGCCCAGAGTTCTTTTGTTTCTGGTATGTCTATAGGAATACACTGATAACATCACTCCATTCTACACTCACCTTGCATTTATTTTCAGCTTACGTTTTCAATGTACATCGCTGTCTCAGTACAGACAGTCAAAGCATTATTTTTAATAATTGTCCATGCATTTTCCAGCATAAAAGGCGAAGAACCATGTAAGGGATTAGATTAGTCATTGATACATAGGCCTAATTAAAGTTCTTAAACAAGTTTTTGTAAAGAACTTTTTCATAAGTAAATTGGATCCCAAGTGAATCATTGTGTATACATTAATTTGGTTTTGTGGTTTCCAGAACCAGTAGACTCCATTGTGCCTACAGTGGGGTTCAGCTCTGTGAAGCTGAAACATAGAGGTTACTCCGTTGTCATCTACGACCTCGGTGGCAGTCCTCAGATCAGAGGCATTTGGCATAGATATTTTGTCGATGTAAGTAAAGTAATTTCAAATACATAAAACTTAATCTGTTGCAGAAGTTAATGTTGAATTAAGTAGGCATGATTGTTACACTATCTTTAACTTGTTGGTCATTGACTTTTCTCTGACTTACCCAGCTTGTTGTTGGCCAGGTGCATGGAGTTATATACGTGGTGGATGCAAGTGACATGTCACGAATAGAAGAGAGCCGCAAAGCACTGCATGAGCTATTAGCACATGAGAAACTTGCTGGCAAACCACTTTTGTTGTGAGTATACTACTGTTGCCTTTGTCATTTGTAATCAATCATTCATGCATATATAATCATTTAGTGTTTTTGGAAAACTTTTCAACTGAAACTAAATATTTACCAACTGTTCATTAGTAGGTTTCATAAAGGATTTTGTATTTTTAAACTAGAGGTGTGCGAGTCGCTCGATTTTCGAGCCGAGAAGAGCCTGGCCACTACAAGTTTAAAAGATTGAACAAAAAGTCAGAAAATTGAGATGAAGCCGAAAACTTTTACGATCACAATCCCAGAACGTGTCTGGGAAGTTTGCGCAATCGAAAAACTTATGCTTTTGCCATGAACGCAGATGACGTTGATTATGTTTTTGTATCCGCGGGAGAAGAAGGTGATGTCTTTACACAACCGCAGATGTCCAGGAATTTTTATGATTGCAGATGACGATGATACAGTTTCCATGATTGATGGAGATATTCAGGATTTTGCCGCTATCGTGTGAGACGATGATTGTGTTTCTTTTACTGTGGGACATACTCGCTTTTTTACCTGATCGCAGAAGACAATGATGTTTTTGTCACCTCAGGAAATGATCATGGCAATACTGCAATTACGGGTAATAGTCATTATAACATTGTGATGAATGCAAATTACAACAAATACGATACATACTTAACTTATTTCCTATCTCCTATGGGAGCATAGGATGTCCAGAAGAGCTCTCCTCTGTCCCTGTATCCAGCAAGTGCCTTCACTTCTCCCAAAGTCTTGTTAACCTCTTTTGCTTTTTTAATAATGGTCCTCTTCCAGGTTTCTAGAGAGCGACCTCTTCTTCTGACACCTTAGGGGTTCCAATCTAGGGCCTCTTTCTCAATGGTTCCGTTTGGCTTCCTCAGCATAAGTCCTAACCACCTCCACTTCCTCACCCGAACCTGCAGTTTGACCCGAACTTGACCTGTTTCTCTCCATAAATCTTCATTTGTAATGCTCTCAGGCTAATGAATGCTCATGATACCTTGTAATACGGCGAAGACTCCTATTGATCAACACTTGCAGCTGAGACAAGTATGGAAAAGTGTCGACCTCCTCTATTTATTCTTTATCGCAGTTAAGAGCTTGTCCGTTTTCTGCATTCATCTTCATAACTTTAGTTTTCTGGTAATTTATCAAATGAGTCCTATGGCACGGCTTCAGCTACTTCCTTCATCGCATTCAACTTAAACTGCATATCCGTGTATCTCTGCGAAAGCAGCCATATCATCTGCGTAATTCAGATCTTCAAGACATCCATGTAATCCTCATAGCTGCATCCAAAACCAAAAGAAAAAAGGATTGGGGACAAGATGCATCCCTGACGAACACCCGCTCCAACAAAGATTGGCTGCGTCAACTTTCCTTGATGAAGTACCTGGCATTGATACCCGTCATACAGATATTTTATTATATTAATTATCTTCTGCGGTATTCCATTATCTTCAAGTACATACTTACGATACATGCAAAATTTAATATTGATTTTTTTAACAAATCTGACATGCAAACTCATGCTAGTTTAACTTAAGGATTTATTGTTAAATAATCAGATAAGTTAAGTTCAACTGTAAACATTAACTTCCTGCGTAAAACTTAAGCCATTGTTGAAGGCATAAAGAAGTGCTGGCATTTGAATTTTTATGCAAATAAATCTATTCTCTTATTTTGTGATACCGAATGATTGAATGTAATAGCCCAAAATAGAAACGTTTTAACCCAAACATACAAAAAGTAAACAAGTAATTTAGCATTAGGCCAAATCAGGTGATGATATATAAAGTCCAGTTGAAAAATATTACTTTTCTAAGGCTACGGCCACATGGGCGCTTTTTCACGCAAGAACGCAGCGTGAAAAAAAGCGAGAAATATGAGCAGTATTAAATGTAATGAGGTATGCCACATGCAGTGTTTTTTCACGCAGATGCGGCAAAATCACCTGCTGCGGGCCCGCAGAAGAATGGACTGGGCTGGATTTTTGAAGCTTGTTTTCACGATCTGTCCCTGGCCACACGGGCGGGAGCAATACGCAGCGTCGCTCAAGTGGTCCTTGCAAGTTTAAATCAAGATTAATGTAACTTTTTTCAGAATAGCGTAAAATATGTTTGGGTCTAGCCAACTACACATTACACGTTTTATCCTAAACATACGTCGACCTTACTGGACCACTTAATAATTTGTTCCTAAAAGGAAAGAAATTTATTTGGGCTAAAGAATGTAAAGGCATTTATGTAGAGAAATATTTTAGTTATATTCAAAGATTTGATGACAATCTTGTTAGAAATATTGATTTTAAATATGTCATAAGATTTATTTTATATTTATTTTTTTATACTAAATGTAAATAAATGAAAGGTTAACAAAATAAAATAATTATAGCGTTGTTTTCGAATCTAAATTAATATACCATTCATTTGATCACTAGTCAGACACAAGGTTACTATTTCGGCCATGAGGAAGATATACAACAGAATCACGTGAATTCATCAATCAACTGCGGGTTCCCACTGCATTTTGCCGCTCCTGGACTTCGACCGGCGTGAGAATAATCTATATTTTACCGCGTGAATGATTTACAACTGCCCATTCATAGACTTACCTCACTTGAAACCCTTTCACAATATCTAGGAGAAAAAATTGTATAATAAACTGCCTGAAAATATTAAATCATTAGAATCTCTTGAAAAATACAAAAAAGAAGTTACCAAATTGCTACTTAATAAAGGTTATTACAAAGTTAATGATTTTTTAAATGATGTATATATTTGATTTCTTAGCATATTGTATATAGTTATTATAGTTTTATGTATTTTAATTGTCCATGACCATTTTACCTGTTTCCCAGCTATGCTGGATCTGTAAAACATTGTGTGAAAATAAATGATTTGAGGTTGACTTTTATGCGTCCTTGATGACTGTTGGAGACCATAGATGGACCGGACCGTCTTAATAAACATACTTTGACTTCTTTTCCTGGCACAACAAAGTTTTCTGGCTGTTACAGTTCCCTTTCAGACCCGGGAATCTCAGTCTTGACCGCTTTAAGTCCTGAGCAAATTTGGAATAAATGTTGGTTTTTAACCTAGATTTCAAATACTAAAATTATTGATAAAGTTTGTTTTAAAGACGAATCCTTCATAATACCATATTAACCATTTCAGTTTCAGCAATAATTAGCATTATATACGTTTAAAAACATAAATAAAACAGTCATCAACCTTAACAGTTGCCTCTTTTCCCTATCTTACCGTGACATTGCAACAAAACAATCAGTGTTACCATAAGACATGAAGGCAGACTGCAAAACAAAAATTCCCAGCTGATCTCCATAACCTACACAATCGATGCGTACAGGTCTGAGCAACAGAAAGATCCAGAAACTCCAAAAAAACAAATAAACATCTAACCTACACAATCGTGTTGGTTAGGTTGTCAGGACTTAAAAATCTAATATATAAAATTCTCGTGTCACAGTGTTTGTCTGCAAACTCCTCCGGAACGACTTCACCGATCGTTATGAAATTTGGTGTGTAAATTCTGTAGGTATGCGAATCGGACGTAAACTATTTCCCGTTTCGAAATTCTTAAAAGGGCTCCGCCCCAGTGGCTCTGGAGTTTCCCATGTTAACCTTATGAGAAATGGAATTAATGAATCTTAACAGCTGTTTCAATTAAACAAGTTGGTTCTGTTCTATGATGTTCAATAGCATTAAAGTTACAAGGATTCCGGCAATAAATTGGTTGTCGGGAATGGTAATGGCAATGGTATCTTTCAAGCTGTTAGTAAAAAATCGTGGATCTATGTTACACGATTTCAAGTAGAGACCAGTGAAAGTGATGTGAAAGGCTATGTCGAATCCTCTTTCCCAAACAGGATGATTGACTGTGTAAAGCTCCCGACACGACACGACTCTTATAACTCGTTTAAAATTGGTGTGCCTTGTGAAATCGTTGAATCCCTGATGAAAGCTGACTTCTGGCCCTCAGGAATACTCATAGGAAAATATTTTCCTAAAAAAAGTACCAGGCCTACTTCTCATTCAAATCCTGTTTCCAGTGTAGAAGATCCTACTAGGACTAGGCCTAGTCATGGTAATTTTTTATCCCAGTCTGTGCCTCCAACTCATCCAACGTAAATATGGACTGGACACCCTGTAAGGTTAGAAGTTTATTCACTGTATTGACGTTTCTCTTTTTAAACATACAAGGTTTGGGCGATAAACACCTAATCCTTGAAAAAGACTTTCATAGTTATGATTTTATCTGCTTGTCCGAACATTGGGTTAAAAGTGACAATATCGATCTCTGTGGGCTTTCAGGCTACAACTTAGTCAGCAATTTTTCACGTACTTCGCAAGGTAGAGGGGGCACCCTAATTTTTGCCCATCAGAAACATCAATGTGAAAGGATTGACCTGTCCAAGTTCTGCGCAGAAAAAACTTTTGAAGCTAGTGCAGCTATAGTCAGAGCTCATAAACTACTTATAATCTCGATATACCGTACACCTGACAGTGATGAATGGTCTTTTCTAAACACCCTAGAAAAAGTCCTTAACTACCTCTCAAAGTGGCGTGACTTTCATATAGTTATTGGTGGTGACGTTAATGCACAGTTCGATGTAACTTCAGCACGAAGATCTGTCACGGAACTTCTTCATCTCCTTAGGCAATTCAACTTATACCATCAGAACAACCTACCCACACGTGGGACTGCCTGCCTAGACAACATATTCACAAACATCGGCCAAGAGAATGTCTACTGTGCTGTCAAGCAATTCCACTTCTCGGATCATGATGGACTATCTTTACATTTTGTGTGTGATAGTGAGTCAGTGCCTTCTCATACTCTAACATCCGTGTATAAAAGGTCTTTCTCAAAGCAAAATTGTGATATTTTTAAATGTAGACTCCAAAATATTGACTGGGAATCTGAGCTAAACATTCCAACCCACTTTCCCCAGCCTCCAGGTAAAGCTTTTGCATTACTTAATAGTACTCTTTTGCATGAAATAGATATCTGTTTTCCTCTGAACAAGTGTAATACAAAAACGAATCGTAATGTTAAGCCAAATAAAAGATGGTACACTGCCAACCTTAGTGTTCTCAAGGATCAATTAGATGTAGCCTATGACAAACTTAAAAATAATTTCTCACCTTTTTTAAATTCTGACTATTGTAACTTAAAGAAAGAGTATAAGAAAGCTGTAAATAATGCAAAACTTGTCTATAACGCTAAACTCATTGAAAATTCTGATAACAAGTGTAAAACAGCCTGGTCAATTGTTAAAAAGAACTGTCAATCTAACCTCTCCTTAGTAAATGTACCTATAGATCCAAATGTTTTTAACAAATCATTGATTGACTCTGTCGACAAAGTTAGATCTGAAATTAATCGCCCAAATGTTAATTTTAATGACCTCTTAAGTGCTTTCCCTGTTAGTAATAAGAATTTTAGCTTTGCCCCTGTCTCTTGTGACTACGTTTTGTCAATAATAGGTAAAATGAAAAATAGCAAAAGTAGGGACTATTATGACTTTTCTAACTGGTTAGTAAAGGAGGTTTCTGACCTCATCATTGTACCTCTCACCTATAGCATTAACACTTGTCTTCTAGAGGGACACTTTCCCGAGTGTCTCAAACTTTCCAAAATCATTCCTAAATTTAAGAAAGGTGATAGGAATAATGTGGGTAGTTATCGGCCCATAAGTCTGGTTCCTGTCTTGGCAAAGAATTTTGAGCATGTAATTTATGATCAAATCAGTCAGTTTTTTGAATCTAACTCACTTTTTAATCAACATCAGTTTGGTTTCAGGGCTGGTCGCTCTACCATGGGTGCTGTTGATGGCATGGTCCACACAGTCTTGAGCGCTTTTGAGAGCGGAAACTATGCTTGGGCCACGTTTGTCGACCTAAGTAAGGCTTTTGACTGTGTTGATCATGGCATCCTACTGCGCAAACTGCAGTATTACGGGATCCATGGTGGTGCGCTCAGTCTCCTTGAGACCTACCTCGCGGATAGAAGGCAGGTGGTTTGCATAGGAGGAGAGACTTCCTCTATTGCTACTAGCAACTGTGGCGTTCCCCAGGGGTCTGTACTTGGCCCGCTGTTGTTTCTTATTGCTGTGAATGATCTACCTTGTAACTTAAATGGAAATGTTTTTCAATATGCAGATGATACGACAATGCTTAGTATTGGTAGAGATATATCTAACCTCAAAAATTCTGTTGTTCATGGTATCAATAGGGTCACAGAATGGTTTGCTGCCAACAGCTTTCTTTTAAATAAGGACAAAACCTTGGACCTAATTTTTAGTCTTAGGGAAATTCCAGATACTATAGTGTCTAATAGTCATGTAAAATTTCTTGGTGTCACATTGGATCAAAAATTGTCTTGGGAGCCTCATATAAACCAACTTTGTACTAGGCTGAGTCGATTAAAGTGCCTCTTTAGGAAATTAAGTTGTGTAATCCCAATAGATTGTCTGTTAAATGTTTACTATGGCCTCTTCCAATCAGCAGTAAGCTATGGAATAATTTTTTGGGGAAATAGCCCACATGTAAAAAAGGTTCTTGTAATTCAGAAAAAGATTCTAAGAATAATAGCCAAAGTAGATGTTGTTGAACACCATAAACCAATTTTTATTGATTTTAAAATTCTCACTGTTGTTAACTTGTATATTTTTAATTTATTGTTAACTAGTTTTAAGAATTTAAATGCTTTTAATTGCCGTAAAGATGTCCACCAGCACAATACTCGATTCAGAAATAAACTTGACATTCCCTATGTTAGACTGGAGAAATCTAAGAAAAGTTATGAAATAGTGGGCATGCAATGTATTAATAAGATACCTACATTTATGTTCTCTCTCCCATACAATTCTTTTAAACAAAAAGTGTTCCAATGGCTAGCTGTTAATCCTTTTTACGAACTCAAAGAGTTTTTAGACCTTCCTTCTTCAAAGTTGTGTTTTTAGTTTGTCTTTGTGTTAACTATTATGCCTTCACCCAATGCCTACAACCTGTCTAATTTTGTAATGTTTTGCTAACTTTCAAATGGTTGTTTTTACTTCTCAATAGTGATAAACTCTGTGATATTAGTTTAAGACCAATTAAATAACTTAAAATGCAATTTTCTTTTTTCGTAGACTTCAAAGTACACTTTGTAACTTACTTCTTAATTTGACAACTGCTCTGCATGAAAAATGTTTGACTCTTCCAATACATTTGTAATATGTCTACTGGAAATAAACATGTCTTATGTCTTATGTCTTATGTCTTATGATTACCAACAGGGTGCAGCACTATTATTTCTTTTACATTTATGACAACAGCTAATTTGCAACCAAAAGGTGAGTGAGCGTAGCGAACGAACTTCAACCTGGAGGCGAGTGAGCGTAGCGAACGAGCTAACCTGAAGGCAAGTGAGCGCAGCGAACGAGCTCCAACCTAAAGGTGAGTGAGCGTAGCGAACGAACTTCAACCAGGACGTGATTGAGCGATGCGAACGAGATCATCTTGAAAATTAAACGTAACGGTACTTTCTTTCCATCGGTCTGTCTTAGGGGAAACCTATAACTTAGGCGATACGAAGTTCGCCGGGTCAGCTAGTTTACCTATACAAATGTGTGTGCTGGGTCTGAAAGGGTTATATACAGTTTCTTTTAGCTGTCCATTCAATAAAGCATTTATGAAATCAAAATTATTAACTTTTATAGATTTATTTCTGTTGCTATAGCCATCAATGTTCTGAGAGTGTAGTTTCTCACAACAGGAGAAAATTCTCTTTGTAGTAAACACTATACTTTTGTGTAAACCCTTTTGGTACTAGCTGAGCCTTGTAGTTTGTTAAGTCTCCATTACTGTCTCTCTTGATCTTAAAGACCCAATCTACTCTACTTAGTCGGAAATCAGACTTCGCTTTTCCAAAAATTAGCAACGGATATGGCTTTGTCATTCGCTTGTAAAAGATCATCTAATGTGCAAGACTGGTATAGGCGTAGAAAAATCAGTAGATGGCCAGGATCCTGAACAGCGCCAAACGCACACAAGATGTTTCCTCGTCTGGTAAGAGACCCCATTTCTGCATGTTTGTCTTCCATTTTGGTACCTGGACCCTGATTCGATTTAGGGTCTTCCACACCGTGTAATGTAGGTCTCCACCAGGAGCCAGGTCCTCCCTGGCTGGTATGGGAGGGTTAGTCAACGTGGCCTCCCACCTTGCCACCCGATCGCTTGAGAGTGATCAATCCAGAACTCGTGTCCGTGATAGAAAGCTCTTTCTGGACCGAAGCTGTTGCTCTACAGGTTGGTTGCCGTGTAATGGGTGATGAGCTTAGTCCTTTCTACTTTGGCAGCGACATCATGTCGGATTGATGGAGGGGCGATCCCTATGATAGGATAGTAGAGTTTGTGTACTGGGGTTGGTTTCAAACACCCAGTTACAATCCGAGCCATGTCGTTGACTGCAATGTCAACCTCTTTTGCATGTGACTATGCATTCCATACCGGTGCAGCGTACTCCGTAGCCGACACACATTGTGTCCGCACCCATCCAAATGAATAGCATTTCATTATGTTATGATTTTAGGGATTGCCCGTTTAAACTGACCTTTTGAGTTATCCGACCTAGGTCCGGTCCCATTGCGGTCGGTTAAGAGGGGGTCTTCTGTACATGCTGCATTATCAGCAAAAAGCCTCTTGACAAGTTCATGGAATTTAAGTTAATGTTAAGGAATTAACTTAGTTTGAGTTAGAGATACGCTATATTAAAATCCCAGGCTCGTGCCTAGCGTCCTAGGACAAAAAAAAAAAAAAAATAAAAAAAAAAAATAAAATTATACTAAATTATAATAGATTTTTATAAACTACGGGCTAATAAGTTATGCTCATTATACCAGGTTAGCCAACAAGCAGGACCAAGATGGTGCCTTGGACGAGATTGATATCGTAGAACGGCTCAATGTGGAAGCATTAGTGAACCAGCAGAAGTGTCCCACTCTGGTAGAGACGTGCTCCACTACTGGTGCACCTCACGGGAGGAAACCTCACGTAGACCCAGGCATCCTCAGTGGATATAGGTACACAAAATGCTTAAAATACAGATAAAAGAATTTATTGTGCTAGATGACTGGGATTTTTTGAGGAAGGAAATCAACATAGCAAAGTCTTTAAAACGATCTTCAATAATCTAGGAATCCACAATGTGGGATGCTTACTATAATTACCATTTAGTATCATTCTGTTCCTGTCCTTAATCGTACCTAGTTAGATGTCTTGTTTGCTTCCCTCAAATTTAAGAAATTAATTTCATAACTATTGATTGTGATGTTGTAAATATATTTCATTCCCCGACAGAGTAAAATAATGCTTGAATATCTTACATGTTGACTTTCAACCAGCAGTATTCATGTTTTTGAATCATGGTAATCAGTAATATTTCAATTCTAATTTTATAGTTTGTTTTGCCGTGATGGAAAGTCAAAGAGTACAGAAATATACTTTAAAAAAATTAAAACAAATGTGTTTTGGAAATTAATTATTGGAAGAAAAGATTTTATCAAAGTGAATAGAGTAGGCCAACTCCAAAACTTAATTTATATCATTTTGAGTTTAGGTATTTGTTAATTTTATGGGATATAATTTGTAATAATATCCTAAAAAATTAAATCAATTGCTTCCAGACCTAGCAATTGTGTAATATTGTTTCAGAAGGATTTTAATGTGGACTAGTTTAGTAATAAAAATATTTGACAGCAATAAACTGCTACGAAGAGTCAGAAAAGTCATCTTTGTAATCCCCACTACCTCCTCTACCTAGGTTTTCTCTTCCATAAGGCCTGTGAACCTCCCAACTAAGTGGTCACCAGCCACCAATGACTAACTACCATTTCTAAATAAATGTATTATTAAAAAATATCACGTTCAACGTGAAAACAGGTGGTTACTGAGAAGGATTATAAATGAATATGACAAGTTAAATGCAAGAGTGGAGCAAGACTTGGAGGAGCAGAGAGTAGCCAATGAGGTGGCTCGACAGGACTGGCTGCGACGTCAGGACACAGACCTACAGGCTGACTCTCTACCCTCAGACAACGAGATCACACACGACCCCTTCCAGCCCATCAACACATTGGTAAGTGACGCCACCTTTGTCTGCCGTCATGTGTTGCTTTGTTATTTGTAGCCATGTTTTTATTTTAGTAGACTTTTATTACAAAACCACTTAGTGATTGGATTACTTTGAAAAGAAGTTCACCAACTTGTCAAATTCAGAAATTTATATCCCAAATATGCTGTTTAAATATACTAGTGAAAGTGATGGTCAAAACCGGAAATGTTGAATCTCAAAACCTAAACGCAAAACATTTTTACTTAGCTGGTTACAAAGGTCAAGGTTACAAAAAATACAGGTATTAATAAAATGTTAAGTATGCAATCACTGAAAGAGATTGACTCCTGACCCTGACATAACATAAATATGTGACTGATAATCTTAAAGCCCAATACAACATCATTTTTTATAAACAAACAACATTAAAATAAATTAAACTCCTAACACCAACATAAACATGAATATTAGATTAATTAGAACATTTAGCGGTCAACATTTCTTTGTGTTCAGTTAATATTGATATGAAACTGAATATTTGAACTGTCTTTCCATTTATATAGTATTTAAGATGCCTTTTGAAGTTCAGAATACAATTTACTTGTTTCATTACTGTTAATGGTGGTAAGTTTGCTCTATTGCTACGATCTTGTGTGGATGCAGTGTTGAAGAAATAATAATTAAACACAAAATACCCCTGCCACAGCAAACATGCAGACTCAGCGAATTTCAACTTGTCTGATTACATATTTACTAAAATACTTCCATAAATAAGACATATTTATTCCCAATTTTTAAATAACATTAGATTTAACGAGTGCTTAGGTTTGCTGCTACAGAGAAGGTAAACAGTGTTTTTTGACCAAGCGTCAATAGTATAGGATGAAATAAAGAAGTTTACCAAATTTGATCAACATATATCCATAAACAAGTAAACTACAACAGTTTTCATTTTCTCCATAAGAATAACATGGGATTTTAAATTTGCATTTTTTTGAATTTTCTCCGTAATTATTAGGCATACAACAAAGCTTCAATATACAGTCCAACCTTGGTATAACGAATCTGAAGGGACCGAACTGAATATTCGTTATATCAAGGATTTTGTTAAAATGAGGTTCGTTATATTGAGGTTAGGTTTGCAGGAATTTCGCTAAGTCAAGGTTCAGAACCAGCGTCGGTCAATATAGGTCGGGATTTGACCTCATTAAAACACAATTAAAGTAGCATAGGCTACAATACTTTACAGTACAGTGTTTACATTGTAAAGTAGAACCACAATTATCTGGGGTAATTAAGGGGAGGGATCTTTAATATTGCACAATCATGACATTTCTAGTCATTGACCTTGGTACAGGTTACAAACTGTAATTTTAAAATCACAGCTTAATCTAACCCTCCTAAAACCTAGCCAAACACTCTATTGTATAGTCATAAACCACGTAAAAAACAAAACAAAACAGTAGAGATAGATTTGTAAGCTACTGCTCGTGATAGGCCGGTAGGCTACTTACAGTAGAGCACTGATTTATCACAACAGAGGAATCTCAATAACAATCATAAAGTATAGGATTGGTGTTGCTATTTGAAATAAATTGTATTGAAAATACAATTGATTGATTGCGTCGTCATCAGTCCTCTCCTCAGAGAATGAAATCAAATCAGTCATCAGTATATTACATAGCGTGCAGCGACAGCAGCAGCAGACAAAGATGTGTAAAACGGAGCAGACGAATATTAGCGCAAGCGATGACGTAACCTTTCCATTTCATTTGATAAAGAAACAGATTTTCCCATAACAATAATGGGGTGGGGGTTTTGTTATATCGAGGGAAAGACGTAGGCAATTCGTTAAATAGAGGTTAAATTCGCTATGTGGAGGTTCTGACAATGATAAATTCGTTATATTGAGGTGTCTTATTTCAGCAGAAATCACGAAAAATTCGTTAAATCAAGATCGTTGTTACGGTTTGTTCGTTATGTAGAGGTAAAATATACATTCTGTCTTTTGGAGAGTTCTAGGGATTTAAAAAAATTTGTTATATCAAGGAATTCGTAATATCGAGGTTCGTTATATCAAGGTTAGACTGTACTAAATTATTTCTTTTTTTAAGCTCTACAAAATGGTTGGAAAAGAAATTCCAAAATTTTATGTTTTTAGGGTCAAAAATGGGGAAAACCCAACTACTGGCAACTACTGGTCGGATTGGGCTGAAATTTGGCATGATGATAGATCACATTCCCGATTAACATATAGGCCTATTCTTATCTCAAAAATCCTTTCGGGCTCCGCCCCAGTGGCACTGTAGTTTCCCATGTTAACCTTATGAGTATTCAATTTGAAAAGGAATTAAAGAATTTTGTCTTTTTTCAACTAAACAAGTTAAAAGCTATGGTATTCAATAGCATTAAAAAGTTATAAGATTTACCAACAGGGTGCAGCACTATTACTTTTTTTGCAATATGACAACAGCTAATTTGAACTAAGCAGCAAATAAAGGCTGTGATACACAATGAGAACTTTCAAAGTAGGATTGTTTGCAGTTATGTTTATGTCTTTAATTTAATAAATAATATGTGATATTTTGCGAATGTTTGATAATTTACTTTTAGCGAATTTCCCTATAGGGAAGTAGCTATTACCGTAGGTCTCATGGTGTAAGACCTAGGCCTAGGACCGATTTACTTTTTCATTTTGATGTCCCCAGAGGCCAAAAATACCATTCATTCAAATTTCTATATATGTACATATAATATACATTATATATTATTCTTGAGGAGATCTTGATAGAGTTTATGATAAATGAAACATGAAACATTGCAAATTTTCCTTTAATACAAACGTTTTCAAGCAAAGTTTTACAAATAATGAAAAATGTAAAAATGAACAAAACAAAAAATGATTTCATATTTTGAGTTTACCTGAGTACTGCCAGAGTGAACGGATTTCATTAATCCGTGAGGACTAACAGGATCACTCTGGCAGTACTCAGGTAATCTTATACCTTTTATAATATATAACAAATGATTATACAGTATATAAGTCAAAGTCAAACTCATCTTTATTGTCACATATTTTTTCTTAAATGCTCTGGCACAGCCAGACAAAACAGGTGACATTGTCAAATTATATTAAAATAAACTAGCTTATTGATAAAAATAAATACATAGTAACGAAACAAACAATTCACATTGATTTGTCTTAGAGAAACTGATCTAGCTATACTATAATAATTCTTTTCCAACAAAAATTCAAAATTTTTTCCTTTAAAAGATACTAATCCTATTACTGATTTGTAGTACCCAGGCATATTGTTAAAAAACTTTTACCCATATAAGAAGGTGTCCTTTCCACAAGATTTAATCTGTGTATAGGATATTGAAAATCTGTATGACATCTAGTGTTATAATTTTGCCGATTATTTTCACTGTGGAGTTTTTCAAAATTTTATTCACATACAATAAACATTTAAGAATATACAAATTAGGGACGGTTAGAATCTTTAGTTCTTTAAATACCCCCGCCGCAGCAAACCTGCAGACTAAGCGAATTTCCATTTGCCTGATTGGATTTACACTAAAACTAGTGGCTTGTAGGGACATAAGTCCCTAAAAAGCTTAAATGTAAAACAACTTTTTGCAATACCGGTATTTAAACAAACTCAGAATAACATTATCTATGTGTCAGAATAGGCATCCCTACACCATATCTTTTGTTTAAAAACCAGTTTGTTGTTCTTCTTTGTTTGCTTTTGTTGATGTCATTTTCAATAAATAATTTGAATCACTCCAGTGGTTTAACATGAAAAGGCAGCAAACATATCATTGTTTGTGAATAAATACTGGTTTACTAAGGTAGCTTTGGTCTTGTGGTTAATGAGGATAAATAAAAGCTTCCCTGTTTGGAATTTTAAAAATTCATTGGAGGTTCGCCTTCAGATGAATTGAAGACGCCTGCAATTTCATCTGCAGTAGGCTTATTATACCTACGACGATCCATATTTATCCTGTCTACAAACCTAAGTTCTAATTCACTGTCACCTTGTACAACCATTTCTTCCGAAGCCCTTTTGTAAATTTGTGCAAATGGATTTTCTAATAGAATTTCAGCTAGTTTTGACAATATTTCAGGTTTTAAGTCACTATTTTCTCGACGCCTTTGACGAATTTCTGTTGCTGTTGATGTGTCAATAATGTACAATTGGCCATACACGGGGTCTTCATCATGTTGAGGCAGCAAATCTGAGATTGAACGATAAATCTGTCCTTGAATTTTGAAACAGTATGGTCATTTTCCTGGAATATCTTTCTTACTGGCTGAAAAATAAGCAAAAGCCATCGCACTGTTGCATTGTTGAATGAATTTATACAGTTGTGGGCTCTCTTCAAACAAACTTTTAAGTTCTACATTAGTTTTTGACTGAGGAAGGTTAATAAGTCCGTTATGGCAACATGTCATAAAATGATTATTCGTTAGTTCTTCTCTAAAATGAAGAGCACTACATTGAATGCACTCTTGGTCCAGTAATCCTGCATCATGAATATTTACATTTCTCTCGTCTACCGTGGGTCTCCTAAAAACGTCATTATCTACTCTTGCTCTCCTACGCGCACTGTCATTCTTATGAACAGTTCCCCGCCTTTGTGGTATTCCCCTGGCGCTCATATTAATTACAGTACTTATAATGAAAAGAATATATATCCAGCAGCCTACATACCAAAACATCTTGAATCCCTGGTGATTTTATAAAAGTATGATCGAATATGATTACTCTACGTTGTATATTCACTGCACTAAAAAAATTTACTTACGAAGGAATGCAAATACACCATTTTAGAACCAATAACATTTATATGTTATTTTAGTTGTATATATTTGCACAACCTTAACCTTAAAATGTGTAGAAATATAAAGAAAACAACATCATTTAAAATCAACTTGAACATATGATTTAAAAATAAAAACAAAACAGAAGTTAGATTTAATTTCGACTCTTTGATTATTTATACAGAATATTTATTCT